GTTTTGTCTGCGACAGACTTGGACATATGGCGCGAGACTGTCGTCAACATCGGAAGCGGTCACGACAAGCTCTCCATCGGAAAAGAAACATCACGATAGTAATTCTAACGGGGCTAATAAGCCTTCGTTAAACTAACGAGAGTCAGTTCGAAGGGGCACGAACTGACTTCAGTAAATGATTGCTCCATCATCCTCGTCTCACAGTTAAAGCGGGTACCCAACAGCCTAACCATTGATGGAAAAATTAACAATATGCCGTTTATTTTGACTTTGGACACTGGTGCTTCACATTCGATAATAAAAGGAGACCTAGAAAAGAATTGTACATCATTGGCTGGTCTAAAACTTCGAACAGCAATGGATGAAGAGGCACCAATACTAGGAAAGGTCATGAAACGAATCACTTTAGGTGGCTATGAATTTCAACATGAATTCATAGTCGCCGATAAAACCGATGACGTGATTATTGGTATAGATTTTATGATCACGCATGGAATTACACTGGACTGAAGTAGAAAAATGTTACGATACATGGATATCGAATGTCCACTAAATACTGGATATCAGCGCAGTAGCAGTGTAAGACAGATCCGGTTGTGTCAAAATCAGAAAATACCAGCGAATTCAGAGGCGATCGTATGGGCAAAAATAAATGGAGGGGAAAGGACAAGTAAGTTGTGGGTCGTTGAAGCCGTAAGAAAAATTCGAATGAACGACATCTTACTGGGGAAAACATTAGTAGAGCCAAAAGTAGATGATAGCATACCTGTCCGACTCTTGAATTTATCTGGTACATCAAAGTTTATAAAAAAAGGGGCAATAATTGGTGAATGTCAAGAGGTTTCAGCTGTAGTTAATTGTAGTGAAAATTCCGAAGTAATGAAAAAAGAAACCATTGCAGAAAAGGAGGATACAATGGTGCAAGTACTAAGTTGGACTAAGGAACTCAATGCACGTCAGAAAAGAAAGGCGATGCAAGTCATACGGAAGAATTGGTCAATTTTTGCGCTCAAGGGAAGAACTTCTATTGTAAAACACGAAATTGACACTGGTGATTCTAAACCAATTCGTCATGCGCCTCGAAGAGTTCCACTGGCAAAAAGAGATGAGGTAACCAGTCTAGTTGCGGGTATGCAAAAAGAAGGTGTTATTGAGTCATCGGAAAGTCCATGGCGTTCGCCGGTAGTACTTGTAAAGAAGAAAGATGGAAGTACACGGTTCTGCGTAGATTATCGTAAGCTGAATGATGTTACAAAGAAAGACAGCTATCCACTACCAATAATCGACGATACTCTCGACACTTTATCTGGCGCACAATGGTTCTCAACTCTTGATCTACGGAGCGGCTATTGGCAGGGAGAACTTAAAGAAGAAGACAAAGAGAAGACTGCATTTAGTGTCGGTGATGGTTTGTGGCAATTCACGGTTATGCCGTTTGGACTCTGCAATGCTCCGGCCACTTTTGAACGTCTCATGGAGCGCGTCTTAAAAGGACTAACCTGGAAATCTTGTTCAGTCTACCTTGACGATATAATTGTAATGGGTAAAGACTTCGACGATCACCTAGAAAAGTTGAAAGAAGTATTCGAGCGAATACAAGCTGCTGATTTGAAGCTGAATTCAAAGAAGTGCTCACTTTTCAAACGTGAAGTCAAATATCTTGGTCACAAAGTTACCCCAGAAGGCGTACATACTGATGATGAGAAAATTGCAGCAGTGAAGGAGTGGCCACAACCAACAAATTTGCATGATCTTAGAAGTTTCCTGGGGCTCTGTACCTATTACAGACGATTCGTTCCTGGCTTCGCGAATATTGCCAGTAGTCTATACGAATTAACTAAAAAGAACCAATCTTTCAAATGGGGTGATGAAGAAAATGAAGCTTTTGAACAGTTTAAGGAACGACTCTGTGCAGCATCAGTTTTGGCGTATCCACTACCTGGGAAAACCTTTATATTGGACACAGATGCGAGTGGCTCTGGAATAGGCGCAGTGTTGTCTCAAATAACGGATGGGCAAGAAAAAGTGATAGCGTACCACAGCAAAATTTTGCCAAGCCAGAAAAGAACTACTGTGTCACACGAAAGGAGTTACTTGCGATAATGATATGTGTGAAGTATTTCCACAAGTACTTATACGGTCAAAAATTCCTCCTCAGAACTGACCATGCAGCACTTAAATGGTTGCTGCGGTTTAAAGAACCGGAAGGTCAGCTGGCGCGGTGGATTGAACGTTTACAAAGTTACGACTTTACTATTGAACATCGTAAAGGAAGCCATCATGAAAACGCTGATGCATTATCACGTCGCCCTTGTGGCCTCGAGTGCAAACATTGTTTACGGGTCGAAAATAAAGAACACATTGTGGATATACGTCTGATTAATGCTCTTCCAGAGGAGTCGTGGACCAATGAGCAGATACAAAAAGAACAGCAGAATGATGCAGACCTCTCCAAAATAATGGAAAGTAAAGAGCTTGCATCTGAAAGATGGTTGTTTATATCGGGTATGGGAAAGTGAGAATGGTAAAACCAATAATAACCTCCTGGTAATACCGAAGTCTCGCATTGACGAAGTTGTCTCAGAATACCATAATGCATCTAGTGGAGGTCAATTGGGCGTTACTTAAACTGTGGAAAAGATCAAGAGACGTTTTTATTGGGTCGGGTGCCAAGATTCGGTTGCGGACGTTATACGGAAATGCGTTCCATGCACTACATCAAAAGGTCCGAATACTAGAAGCCGTGAAAAAATGCAACAATATAACGTTGGTGTTCCTTTTGAGAGAATTGCAATGGACCTTTCCCTACTAGTAACGCACAGAACAAATACGTGCTGGTAGTAATGGATTACTTCAGTAAGTGGCCAGAAGTGTATCCAATTCCAAATCAAGAAGCCAGCACAATAGCAGAAGTTTTCTTAAACAATTGGGTTACGCGATTCGGTGTTCCAATGGAACTGCATTCAGATCAGGGGCGAAACTTCGAGTCAACAATCTTTAGAGAAATTTGCACATTACTGGGAATAAATAAAACTCGTACAACGCCTTTACATCCGCAGTCGGATGGTATGGTTGAACGATTTAATCGTACATTAAACGAGTACCTCAGGAAAGTGGTTGATAAAAATCAGAAAGACTGGGACGTTCATATTCCAATGTTCCTACTCGCCTATCGGTCTGCACGACATAATTCCACATCAACAGGAGTAGTTTTTGGCGACACGACATAATTCCACCAGCAAGAGCAGTTTTTGGCGCCGATATCAGATTACCCGCGGACTTAAAATTTGGAATAACGCCACTTTGCGGCAAGATGACATGTGACTACACTGGAAGTAAGCGGGACCAATTAGATGAAATTCATCGATTCATCAGAAGACGGCTCTTACTGACCAGTGACAAAATGAAAGCGAGGTATGATTTGAGAATGAACTCTGAAGGTTTCCAGGAAGGAGACCTAGTGTGGTTCCATAATCCACAACGAAAGAAAGGTTTGTCTCCAAAACTACAGACCCATTGGCAAGGACCATATAGGGTAATAACGAAGATCAATGATGTTGTTTATCGAATTCAACAGTCGGGGCATCATAGAGATCGAATGAAAGTGGTGCATCTGGAATGGCTGGCACCTTATTGCAACGATGTGGTGTTCGGGACGAACAGATTTAAGATGAGGGCAATGTTACGAATTTCATCAGAGTAGCAATGAAATGTTTAAATATTATTAAATATTATTTAAACATTATGTCAACTGATATTTTTAAGAAAGTGTTAATGTTGGAATTTGTTTTGAGTGAAGCTAAATTGGCTCCTAGTAAATACTAGTTCTTTTCAATACAACAAATATAATAAATATAGTTTCTCCAATTTTTAAAGTTCGTTTCATTTTTATAAAATCCTGAGATACGAATAAACATTCAGGCGATTACGTAACAATATATTAATAATTTTTGAAATAAGTAACAAAGATATAAATGACCTCGAATTGAAAAATTTATGGATTTTGTACTGAAAATCCAACTTTGCTCGAGTGGCGCAATGTCAATTTTAATTCTATTCCTCCAAAACTTCGGGAATATCTTTTTTTGGTCAATGGCATATTCTTTGGAGGTGCGCTCATTTAAAAGTAAGTTTTTAATAATCCCCCTTATAACGTGAGCCACCCTATATACAGTGACGAACAAAATTATTGGCACAGCAAGCAAATTGAACTTAAGCACTATTTTTATCTTATTAATGATGCGATTTTTAATAAACAAAAAAGTTTTTTAGATGAAAAGCTTAATTTGCTTTTAAATTCATTTTATTTCATTTTGTTTTCTCTTACATATAATTTTTCAAAATTAAAAAACCAAAAAAAGAACTAAATTTGGCTGAAAAAAATTATTGGCACAGCTAACGTAAAAATTAAAAAAAAATATTTTCGATAACAATTCATATTTAGTGGCCAAGCTCTTCTATTTAATAATAGCTACTATTTGTTTTAAAATCGAAAAAATCAATTTTTGTGTGGTTTTTGGTCCAAAATTTCGCCACTCTTTAGCAGTACCACCTTCAGTTCTGCCATTGTTGTTATAATTATAACTGTATTTTATAATATATTTCCTGAACATATTATTGTTCTCTTCATGATATAATCATGGTACTGAGATGTTATAAGAATTTTGGTATATGACGAATATTATGACACCATTAATAAATGATACTAATGATTAAAATGAAATCACAAGTACAAGGTTAACTTCTATAGCTTATTTAGTTTTAAGATTCGATTCATTGTTGTAAATTTTCTTTTAAAAGATTTAGTAAATAATGTAATAGTTTATAAGACAAGCAAAATAAATTTATTTCAACTATATTTAAGTTTGGACCAGAACTTATGTTATTGTTACTAAGTGGTGAAATTAAAAGCGATTCAAAACACAAAAAAAATATTTAACAAAAGTGTTTTTAAAAACGATTTATTGCAATACTATTTATATTCTTAAATTATATTTTAGGGCCCAACATGCGAAAGGGATGTAAACGAGTGTGCGATTTACTCAGGCACTGATTTAGGTTGCCAGAATGGTGGACAATGTGTAAATCAATTTGGAGGCTACTTTTGCATTTGTGCTTTCGGTTGGATTGGTATACATTGCACTCAGCGTAATGGTGACTGCTTTCAGTCTTCTGTGCGGGAACTATGCGAACATGGCACTTGCGTAAATTACAATAATAATTTTGGTTATAAATGCTTATGTGATCAGGGATGGAAAACAAATGGTTTAACTCCAGCTTGTAATGTCGATGTAGACGAGTGTAAAGATTTTCATCCACCTTGCACAACAAAATGTCTCAATTTACCGGGTACGTTTACATGCACACCATGCCCTGAAGGTCTTACTGGGAATGGAATAAGTTGTCAGGATATCGATGAATGTGCCATTAGTAATGGTGGATGCAGTATTGCCCCTCGTGTGAAATGCATTAATACCTATGTTTGTATTCTATTTTTTTTTATGAAGTTCAAATATCATATTTTTCAATAACTAGGGATCTTTCCATTGTGGTGAATGTCCTTTGGGTTGGTCTGGGAATGGAAAGGATTGTGTTCGCATTACCAGTAATAATACAAATAATTACGGAAGCTGTGTTGATACAAATATTTGTTACCCAAACGCAACATGTATTGAAGTATCTAATAGAGTAGTTTGCAACTGCCCTAAAGGAATGGTTGGTACTGGAATTGGTATAAGTGGTTGTATACAACAAATTCATAACAATTGTCAGGATAATCTATGTTTGGTAATTATTTAAAATGTCAAATAAACAAATTCAACAGGAAAAGTGATATCATTTTAGAATGGAGGGACTTGTATACAATCAAATGCAGGAGTAAGTTGTAAGTGCACAGAAGGATTTTCACCACCTTATTGCCATAGCCTTCAAAATCCATGCTTATCAAATCCTTGTCACAATGGTGGCCGATGTATATATCACTTACACACGAATTATTCTTGTCACTGCACTAGAGGTTTTACTGGACAGCATTGTGAAACTCATTCAAATCACTGTGGAGGCTTAATTTTCGGGACTACCGGACACCTTAAATACCCTGACGATATTTTTTATGAGCACAATGCACAATGTGCTTGGGTTATTCAAACAAACGAAACGCTTGTATTAAATGTTACTTTCAATTCCTTTGATATAGAAGATTCCGTTGAATGCAGATTTGATTGGCTACAAGTTAATGATGGACATACTGCAGCTTCTAACATCATTGGACGGTTTTGTGGCCGTTATCCACCTTTAGGTGGCAATTTTCTCTCTACTACAAATGAATTATATTTGTGGTTTAGGTCAGATAACTCTACGGCAAAAGAAGGGTTTGATTTAACATGGAACTCAATATTACCTGAATGCGGAGGAATTTTTAATATTAGCAGTTACGGTTCAATTTCAACACCAGGTTCCCCTGGCAATTATCCAAAAAATAGAAATTGTCGCTGGATCTTGCGAGCACCAACTAATAAAAGAATAAAATTAACTTTTTTTAGCTTAAGAATAGAAAATCATGATAGTTGCAGATTTGATTACGTTGAGGTAAAAATTAATTAACTCCTTATGTGCATTTAAAAGAAAATTTTTTATGGTACACTTTCAGATAGTAGATTCAATTTCAAATATGCTTCTAGAAAAGTTTTGCAATAGTTCAAATCCTGGGTCGTTTCTGTTTTCAACCAATGAATTAGTAATTAATTTTCATTCTGATAATATAGGAGCTGATACAGGATTTCAAATTTATTACTCCACAGAGGATAGTGTTTCAGGATGTGGAGGAACTTTTACAACAAGAAATGGAATAATTTCATCTCCGAAAGATTTTCACGGCTTAGTATCTTGTGAGTATGATATTAAAATGTTAACGGATGAATCGATTGTCATCGAATTTGTTAAATATGAAATGGGTCCAGATGATTGTGTAGAGGTAAGACATTTATATTTTATGTTTAAATAAAATTACTGCAAATTATTTGTAAGTTTTATGATGTCGACGTTATTCCAAATTCATATATATTACAAAGAAAATTTTGCGGGGATTACGAAATAACGCCTTCTTCATTTAGTTCCTACCTAAATTATGTACACATTAAATACTATTCACACGGAGGAGAATTTGTGTTAAAATACGAAGCAGGTAAAAATTTCAAAATAAATTCAATTAAAATTATCACCAAAAATATATTAATTTTCGCAGAATGTTCCTATACATTCCAAAAAGAGAAAGACATTGTCATATCTTCTGGGTATCCGGAGTTTAATAATAGGAATCGTTTTTGTTCATATAAAATACTTATGGAACCAAATGCTGTTATATCACTCAATTTCCTTGATTTTGATCTTCAAGATAATAGTAATGATGGCGAGAACTGCATGTCCACATATCTTGAAGTATTAAAAAGATAGTTTTAAGTTAAATTATTTCATTTCTTATTATTTAGATAAACGACGGCCGATCAGATATTCTTGGTCCTTTTTGTAATAATTCAAAGCCACCAAATGATATCGTTTCTAAGAGTAACCTGGTCTTATTAAATGTTAAAAGTAGTACAACAAGCTGGGGTAGAGGCTTCAAAATTAATTATATTAAAATTCCTTTGAGCAGTGTTGGATGCGGTGGAGTATACACTAAACCTGGTTCTATTATACGTGTACCAACTGGAGATGATGGCACATATGAAAATGACATTGAATGTTACTGGACTATAATGGCTCCAGTTAATAATGGCATAATAATAACATGGCTTTCATTTCATATAGAAAAGACAACCGATTGTATTTATGATTATTTAGAAATTTACGAAAATTTTACAAACAGTGATTCTTCTAGAGCTCTAGGAAGGTAATGTATACAACGATAAAAAACATATTATTAATATTCAATTACTACATTATTTAGATATTGCGGAACATCAAAACCACCAACATTTTTAAGCCATTCAAATGTTTTAACCATAAAATTCGTATCAGATTATTCTGATGTTGCTGAAGGATTTTCCGCTTCATATAATTTTGTAGATAAATTAAATCAATGTGGTGGAAACATTTTTTCTTCTAGTGGTACATTATTTTCACCTGGTTGGCCTAATAATTATACTAATGGACTGGACTGTGACTGGATTGTATCAACACCCCCAGCAACGCAAATAGAATTACAAATAGATATATTTGATGTAGAATATACAGAAAATTGTGCAAATGATTGGATTGAAATCAGGTTTGTTAATAGCTACAACATTTAAAATTAATAAATGTTTATGAAAAATTCACAACAATATACTAGGAATGGCGGTTCATCAAATTCTACTCTAATTGGATACTTTTGTGGCAAAAATGCACCTCGTTATGTTCCATCATTTACAAATCAAATTTACTTACATTTTCATTCAGATAGATTCTTGACCGGACATGGCTTTCAAATAAGTTGGAAAGTTTATTCAAATGGATGTGGTGGAGATATTATAAGTGAACTTGGAGTTATAACTTCACCCTATTATCCAAATCCTTATCCAAATAATGCTGAATGTGAATGGCGAATACATGTTCACAAAGGATCTTTTATTCAAATTACCATAGAAGATATGTCTATGGAGGAACTATTGCAATGCAATTATGATAGTTTGGATGTATTCGATGGTTTAACTGTATACGACTTATCTTTGGCTCATATATGTACTTTAAAGTATGGAATGCCCTTACAGATAAATACTTCTGGTAATGAAGCCCTAATTCGTTTTAAAACAGACAGTAGTAGTTCTGAACGCGGATTTTTTTTATCATATTTTTCTAATTGTACTAATATTCTAAAAAGTTTTCATGGTGTAATTGAAAGCCCAAATTTTAATAATTCATATTACAAAAACGATGTTAATTGCTCTTGGACCATTGAGGGTTTCAAAGGAAATTTCATATCACTTGAATTTACGCATTTTGAAAGTTCAGGTTATAAATTGTACTTTGAAGACATATTGAAAAACGAGTCTGTGTTTCACACTGTAGATAAAGATCAAAGCTTTACATCTATTGGTAATGTTTTAATCATTAAACTAAATAGCAGCTTTATTAACTTTCGATTGGAGTACTCCATAATGGGTTGCATAGAAGTTTTAAGTCGGAACGAAGGATATCTTACATCACCATTATTTCCAAAAATGTATCCTAATGATGTAGAATGTTTATGGGAAATAAGAACCACAATAGGGCAAGGTATAGAACTAACAATACATGAATTGGATATAGAAGTGTCTGTCAATTGTTCCAATGATGCATTACAGGTAGTTAAAAAATATTTTTGAAAAAATTATGAATATATTAATTTAATTGCCCAGGTTTCCACTTTTTTAAATGGAAACAATACTAGCGAAAGACATTGTGGAAAGCAAAAAAAAATTGTTATTACCAGTTCCAGTAATCATTTATTTGTTCGCTTTTTCAGTAATGCTGAAAATAATGGAAAAGGATTCAATGCAACTTATACCACCATTAAATCACGTATGTAAAAACCTTTAGTAAAAGTAAAACAACTTGTATTAATTTATATAAAGTCATTTATGGGATTTAAGCCAAAATTCTCACATTGAAGAGCTGCTCATGAGGTCTCACGAGCCGAGAGCTCAACTGTTCAATAAGAAGCGATTTATTTTTGATTAGTTTATTTGCCTTATTTATTTTTATGTACGTTACTTTCTATGTGAAAATATATAATTTGAAATTAACTTAGCTTATTACTATTTATATTAAAATAATATAATGAAACAATAATATATTGTTTTCTAGAATTTGAAAAACAAATTTATAAAATACTATTATCAGAAATATTTAAGCACATATTTTTGGAGTTAAGCTCTTGAAAATTTAGTTTGGTTAATAATAAGTTGTTTATTGTGCTATAACTTAATCTTGATCTTAATTTAGTTACAACTAGAGAAAATGCGCTAAAAGCTCTTTCCACCGATACTTGTGTAGCTAGAACAGCTAATGCAACTGCTGCAACTTTTTTAATCTCCTTATAATTGTTTGATGTTTTCTAATAGCTTAAAATGTCAGTATGAAGAGGAACACCTTCTTGGTTGGCAAGTGATATGAGTTTTTTTGTTTAAAGGTACGATTTAGTTTCGGCGTTAGTTGTTACATTTGCCGTCATGCGCTGCTGCAATTTTAAATAAAGTGTTGCCGAAGTAGTAGAAAACTCAAATATCATATCAAATGACATATTTGGTGAATCTGATTCATTTCTTAACTTTCGTAAGTCTTCCAATTTAACCTTTTAAAAGTTGCTAAATAGATGCGCCTTTGAAAAAAATTAGATAATAATTTAAAATTTGTTTAATAAACAATAATTTAAAAAAAAAATATGATATAAAATATAAGTATATTTGTAACTCAGCGGAGGGCAGTTGCTGATTTTTGAAATCTGCAGCTGTTTTGAAAATTATAACGAGGATCAAAATAAAGCACGGCTTGAAATGCATCATTACACATAAATATTGGTTTTCTTTTTCCATTTATTCATGTAAATGTGAAGCGTATGGTGTTTTCGTTACTAACTCCTTTAAGTCTATCTCGGGACATAATTAATCTCTATAAAAATCGCCAATTACATATTGCTCTGTTTTCATCTGTTTATTACAAATAGCGAAAGAGTAAAGGCAGCTATAAAATTTACAACGAAATCCCAAGATATATATGGAATTTCAGACTTTTCAATATATAATGCTTTTACTATTGTTAAATTTCCTTAACGTAAACCTTGTTTTAATATATATATAAAAGGTTTAATCAAGTTAACGTTGTCAATCACAAGTAATCAGCTGTTTGGCAATAAAAGTAGAATGAAGTAAGCTTTATGTCGAATATGGCAACCCTCTGCTTACATTATCATATGTCACTTTTAAGATTTGCAACCAACTTCAGTACACTATAACAAGTGGTTAACTCACATTGAAGTGTTAAAGTGTATATATCTGAAATTATAACAACAATAAAATATAATATTATAACACTTTATTTGGTTTTTCACTATGTCTTTTTTATGGACGAACTTATAATGCCGCTTACCATTAAATACTTTTGTTGCACTTAATTGTTTTTCGCATTGTAAGCAAATTGTTTTATTACATTCATGTAAAACTGTTAAGTATTTATTTTTTATAGCTCTTATTTAAAAATTTTCCAAAACACAATAACGAACTAAGATTAAATTAAAAATTCATATTTCTTAGCTTAAATAAAAAAATTAAATAAAAAGGTCATTAAGGACAGTAGTTATTAAGAAGGTTATTAAAGAACCGTAGTTAGTTTTACTTCCTGGAAGATTACTTAATTAAAAAATTTTCTATAAATAAACAATATGAGTAATATAATGCTATGTTCAGTTTTCAAATTTCCTTTATTTTTTAAAAATGAAATTAGGTTAATTTCGAAAGTGTTCAATCTGCCCCAAATTAAGAAAATCATATGTTTTTTGATTACAAATCGAATGTTAAATGTTACATGCTCGAAACACTATTTTAAATTAATAACAGGTACAGATTTATCTCTATGTTCAAATTTGAAACTTTCCCGGTTTTATTAACGTCAACTATCACTGACATTTATATAAAAAAAATGTCACTTTTACGTTTTTTCAACTTATCTTTTGCTAAAAATTTATCTTACACATAGTTGCATTTGAAATGTCCCTTAATTTCACTCTTCGTTTTAACGAAATTAAGACACATTTCCTTAATTTCGTTTTAACCTTTAATTTTGTATGGAAAAAACCATTTAAATCGCTAAAACGAAGATGAAATCAAGATTTTTGCGAAATTAAAGTGTGTCTGAACCTAGTATGTATGAAAATATATTTGTTTTTTTTTTTGTAAGAATTTTGATAATTATGAGATCTCTTGAGCCAATATATAACCTAATGGCGGCTCTCGCTCATGAGCGCGGGATTCTGTGATTGGCCTCGCTCGTAAGCGTGAGCTATCGTATGAAAAGAGTTTCTTGCCTGCCAATGAGCTGTGCGCAGAATGAGCCGAAAGGAGCCGCTCATGGGTACGCAAATATGAACTCTGGGTTCAAAGATGATAAAAAACTTCTTTAATTTAATAATAATTAAATTAAGTGTAATGTATACTAATATTTATTGACAAATATTTATATATCTGCCGAAATTAAATATTTGAACAATAAGTAATTACAAAAAATATATACAGCAACTCTGAAAGAGAGCAAAAGTCGCATAGGTGTAGAGTGATCATCGTTTAAGCAATTTCTCTTACTTTGATCGTGGTGGGTGTAATTTCCATTCTATAAAAGTTGTTCTGTGTTCAAACTTATGCAAACGTCAAAAACTTCCAAAACAATATTGTGAAGTCAATGAAAAAAATCTACTTAATTTTTGGAAACAGCCGCTAATAAAATTTTATCATATAAATGGTTATGATAGGCCTTTTCTTTTGTAAGTATGTCGCAAAAGAACAAATAAAATAAGCACTGCTTTCGATAGCAACTCTGAACAAAGTAGAGATTTTGTTCGGCTTATATGTGCAAACCACGTAATATAATTTTATGTTGAAATTTCGATCATGAATAATAATTCTTTGCAATTATTGATGAGAATATTTTTTTTACATCATTCTGAATAAAATATAATTTTTCGTGCCTTTTAACAGTAAAATAATAAATAGAAAAAATAACGAATTTTTTACGAACATTGACGACACGAAATACGAATAACTTTTTCTTTGTTTTTATAATCCATTTATTTTATTACAATCTGTTAGATATAAATGACAATAAATAACACACCCAACTCTCTTTTTACACGTTCTTTTTTTACACGATTTTGAAATAACACTGTTCAAAATTAAACATAAAATACTTCTTTTACACGAAAATTTTTGATTTTGTATGAATTACAACAAAAATTTTTATTAAAATTAAATTTTAAATTAAATTTTTATTTTTTTTTATGTCTTCTTGTACACTTATGTATACAGCAACAAAATAAAATTCGGGGAATATTCGAAATTTATGATTAGTTTTTTTTATTTCGCTGCACTTCGATTGCCATCATGCACCAAAAGTGAAAGCTTTGTAGAACAAAAATCAGCTATGTGTTCTGAAATTATAACTATCAAACGCAATTGGTGGCGAAGGTTTTAGCTAAATGCAAGTGTCTGATATAAATGAATTGATGCGGGAAACTCCTTTACATGAAGATGATTTAATTGAATTTATGACAGTTGATGACAGTAAAGAAGTCATTATGATGAAGTAAATGGTGAAGATCAGGAATTAACGGCTAATTTAATTCACGAGAGCTTGAAATTTGCAAAAAGTATGAAGCAACATTTTGTAACCTATGTTCCTAACATGGAGCATGCATTACAATTTTCACGCAATCTTAACTGTTGTATAGCTGGATATGAAGAATTGTATAAACAACTTAAAAAACCAAAAAAGCAGCAGTTAATAACAGATTTTTAACAACTAAAAAAAAACAGTTACTATTAATACTGATGATAGCATTTTTAAGACTGTTCGTAATACACGTGCACGCATGTATCAAATAGCGGTTAGTTATTGTCAATTTGACATTAAAGTTTGGTACAATATATTTTACTTTTGTAACAAAATAAATTTTTTTTTTAATTAATAGAGTGCTACTTATAATACTCCCCTTATTTTTTTTTGATTTCTTTTGTCATTTTTATCGGGTTTGCATGAAAAGGTACATATATACTTCACATTTACTTTTCTTCATTATTTTTTTTATTATCGAATTTTATGTTTTTTTCTCAAACCAATAATTTCATTTGTATGGTTATATTTAACAAATGAAGTTTGTTAGTTATTTAAATTTAGTTTTATATACTTGTAACTCACCTTTCCTTTTGTTTTTATTTTTGTTTATTTTGATAAAATCTTAAATATAGAGTCACTATAATAATTTGTTTTTGAAATCAAATTAAGGAGCTGTAAGGAATTTAGTAGGGCCTTTTACTTCAGTTCAATGGTAACCACGGTAAGGTAGTGAGGGTGGGTAGGTCCAAACTGACAGGCCTAGGTCCAAAATATCCTGAGATAGTTTTCTTTACACATTTTTTTTTTTTTTTATTTTTCTTATTTCTCTTTTGATCTACTTTGATCACCACTATTGCATTTTTTTTCTTAAATAATACACTCTGGCACGATTGTTGTTCTTTGTTACGATTCGATAGTGTTATAGCGGAGTTAATAATCCACCCCTTTTCTGACGAGCTAGCTTGCCTCGCCACCGAGCCAGACCTTTACTCCGTTTACAACATATTCAAAGATGTTGAACGTAACACATGTTCTTCTCTGAATCCTTCTGCATAACTTTAGCGACAGCCATTTCAAAATCTTCTTGAGTAACATACACATAAATGAATTTTGAGAATATCTGAACGAGTTTTTTCATTTGGTGAGAGAATTTCAATTATCCTTTTTCACAACAGCTCTAAATATTTCGGAAGAATATC